AAGCCCTCTTTGCTCTGAGAGGAGGCAGCCTTGTGCTGATGCTGAGTTTTAAATTATTTATGGTGAATATGAGAACATACCAACTCCCAGGCAGTTCACTCCTCAACAAAAATGTATTCTGTAGATATAAACTCTGGGAAAACTCCATGTAGGCTAATTTCAGCTTTACACCTATGAATATTTTATTTCCCAATAATTCATAATGGTTCTCAAGTAGCCATTATTGTTAAGTAAATATGCATAGTCTGAAACATCTCAAGATGTAATTGCCCACATTTTTGCTCTGGGTGACAAAGATATTTATAAATATAGGACCACTTCTCATAAGTTTTATTAAAGGATTACTCTGTCTCTTCCTCTCTCTACCCAGCTAACTTTCCTTTCTTTTACATGCACACACAAAGCTAAGAAAGAACATGAAATAATATACTGCCATATAAATGTGGGACTGCCTGAAACTATAAAATACCAATGGATAAACCAGTCTCAGCTCAATCTTTTTTTCTTTTAGAAGACTTATTACCCTATCAAGTATGAAAATAAGTATTTGAAGACTTGCTGCATTTGGTCATTTCCCCACCAGAAGTACAATGCAGGCCGACTTCATAGTTAACTTAGGAAAAGAGAGAGAACCTTTGCAGGAATATGACCGTATGGGCAAAGTAGTGCCCCAGGTCCTGCAGACAAAAGCCCCAGAGGCTCATCAGACCCTGGAACATGGGCCAGTTTCCATCTCAGAGGTGCAAAAGGAAGTAAAGGGGCACCCAAAAGACCCTCACTGAATGTACAGCTGAAGGAGAGATTGAAAAAAGGGCAGGGCAGCAGGAGGGATGGGAGTTGCCTTATTAAGGAAAATAGTTTAGTCACTGAAAAGTGAACCTGTATCCCCCAGTCCATGAATTCACCCACTGACTCCAGGAAATGGATAGACAGCATCTTCAAAAGTTAGAGCAATGGCTTGTTTGCTAGTAATTCAGTGCTTTATTGTGATACTCTGAAGACTGTTTTGACAGTGGGGATGTGGAGAGAGAAAGAAAACAAGAGTGTATAAGAGGCAGAGTGTCATACCCTTTTCTCTAAGTAAACCCACCAGTAGTATGTCTGGAAGCTATCACTTTGTGATATGAGAGGAAAGGGTACACAAAAGGTAATGCGAGCCTCAAAGCAGACACTGAAATGCTAAGTCAACCAATGGACCTTCAATCTTCCCCTCTGCATACCTTCTTTTCCATTTCTCCTCATCTCTCCAGACAAAGGGGAAACACCAAGAGCTTTGGAAGGTGAGGACTAAGTACTCAGGGATGAAGCTCTGTCTTCTTGTCATTCTTCTCTAGAGTAAGCATCTGAATCATCCAGCTTCTATTACCTGCCTGTCCTTGAAGCACCTGATTAACATCCCACCACACCAGATCTAAAACTGAAGGAATAATAACAAGGCACTAATGAGTGCTGGGGGGTTCCAAACCAATATTACCCCTGGGGCCGTTTCAGAACAACTTGTCCCTCAAGATATCCAAGGGGAGAGGGTCCATGAGTGGAATTTCAAATGCAGTGCAGAGGTTCCCCAGGGATCCACTTCAGTTAAGACTCTTCCCAGGATCCCTCAGCTCATGACCTGTGAGACATGGCCCACTCAGTGGACCAACTCTGCTCTTGCTCCACATGGAAACAGCAACTCCCATGATGACTTGGGGTGGGGGTGGGTGCTGCTGACGCAAACATTTCTGTGACCACTGTAAAGTGGGTGTTGGGTTGGAACACCTTCCAGAACTCCTGGGAGGAGGATGCAGGTCTTTTTTTTTTTTATCTCTGTACTCTGACATCATTTGGCCCAACCTCAGTGGGTTAAAAAGGTATTGATCTTGAAGTATCACTTGACTGCCAAAGCCATTCTCATTTGCCCATATTAACACACTTTACCCTGTGCCTATGGGCAAACCTTGCCTGAGTCTTAGGACTGCCTTAACTTCTGTTAGGAGAAATTCACAGATTACAGCATCAAACTGCATTTCTAGGTGGTTGGGCCTAATCTGGAGCCTCATTTCTTGTACTTAGTCTGATTTCTGACTCATCTCTGACCTATTCTCAGCCACCTCTGCTGTCGCCCAAGATTATATAATGTATGATTAAGACTTCGGGATCTCATCCCAGTAAATGGTGTCTCCATACTTTCAGGTGCTTATTCACAAATCTTGGAGCCATCCTTAACTCCTCTATTCTCTCACATCCAGAAGTTAATCTTGTAGGAAATCCTAGAGACTTAAACTTTAAAATATGTCCAGAATCTACCTGCTGATATCCAACTCTAACTTCGACCACCACTGCTAAGGTCACCATCAGCTCCTATCAGTTCATATGACTGGATGGTGTTAGTGACTGTCACAGTCAGGGACAACACAGATGATGGAACATGAGGTAGGCTTCTATTTCACAGTGGCAGAGATTGGGATGTGCCAAAGTGAATGCATGGGACATTATAGGTAAAACAATGACCCCTTCTAAATTCATGAACCTCAAAATGTAACCTTATTTTGGAAATAGGGTCTTTGCAGATGTAATCTGCAGTTAACTGAAGGTGAGGTCATATTGGGCTAGGGTGGACCCTAAATCCAATGAGTGGTGTCTGTAGAAGAGAAAGGAAGATTTGGATACAGACACAGAGGAGACCCAGGGAAGAAGGCCATGTGAAGATGGCCGCAGAGATTAGAGTGGTGCAGCCGTAAGCCAAGAACACGAAGGACTGCTGTCCACCACCTGAAAGTTGGAAGAGGCGAGGAAGGATTCTTTCTTCCCTACAGGATTCAGAGGGAGCATGGCCTTACTGACACCCTGATTTTGGATTTCTAGCTCCAGAACTGTGAGAGAGTAGATGTCTGTTGTTTTAAGCTACCACAGCACTAGGGAACTAGTGCTGAAGTGCATGAATTAAGACAATGAGGTGGGGACGTGTATGGGCTGATGGAGAGGGGAAAATAAGACTGTTGGTCACTCATTGAGTCTTTATCCACCTCATCCATTCCTGCTAGGGGCTTTCTGTGTTGTAAACATCATTTCTGTTAAATCTTCAAACAGTCCTATGAGGTAGGGTTCATTATCAGTTCATGATCCTCATTTTGAAGATAAGAATACTGACTTTCAGAGAAGTTAATTGACTTGCTCAAAGTCACACAGCTATTAATGAAAGGATTGAGACTTCAAACAAGCTTACCTGGTTTTCAACGCTCACTTTCCTGCCCCTGTGACATTGTGCTTCTCTGATGTTCTTTCCAAGGTAGGCAAAACCCATCTCATCAATTTCAAATGATGGAGACAGTGATAAGATAGTAAAGCCCTTAATACCTACATCAAGGAAGCAAGACAAGGAAATTTGAGGACCTGAGTAGAATTCAACACCTTTTGCATTGCAAAAATCACTGTGATCTGGTACAAAGATGCAGATGTTTAAATCATCACAGACATGCTAAGAAAAACGTGATAAGGCAACTGACATCCTTAATGTGGAGAGAAACTACCATCTCACTCAGAAGAGATCCAAGCAGCTGACATGTATATTGGTCAGAATCCTTTCCCACCCCCACACCTCAAATTGTTTCTTTTATTTGGCATCACAGTCTGAAGTTAAAGGAATAAAGATCTAGCAACTAGAATATCAGGCAATAGTCACACAACATTTTACACATTTGTACACATAAGGCAAGCTTTGACTTAAAAATAAAAATGATTCCAGAGAAGATCACATCAAACAATGTCACATAATGCTGTTTACCTTGCTGGGTTAGATTCAAGTGTTAGGTTATTAAGGAATTACTCGTTATGTTCACTGGCATTTTACAATGTTTGGATATTTGGCACAGGCTACAGTCTTTTGTAAATACTACTAAGTTGTGTATTTTAATAAATCCATAATAATGAGTAAAGAATTTCTTATTCTCCCTTCCAAATCTGAGAGATTAATTTTTTAAATTTAAACACAACAATGAGGGAGGATAGAAAAAGGTGAGTAAGAGCTTGTTTTGAAACTTTGCCTAGGGCCAATTTTGGTCCTGGAAGAAAAATACTGGTCTCCAGAAGGTACAGTTCCACAGGGAAGCAAAGTTACTTAGTAAATGTCACAGGTGAAAGAAGCCACAGGGATTTGCTCTTATTTGTCTTATCTCCCATGTCTCTGTTTAAATCTAGAAACATCATTTCACTTTTGTCTTGGCTGACAAGCCGGCTCATATGCCTAAGGAGGCTTAAGTGAATGTGGCGACCTGGGATGCTGTTTGGTTATGGAATCAGAGGTCTTTTAACTACTCTCAGGCCCAAAGTACCCAGGGTAAAATAGCAGGATCTCTGGCTTCCCATGTGCCAACTGCATGTTTTCCAGCCCAGACATGTTCAGGTGGAACAAGATATGATCAAATCATAATCAAGTTCTCAAAATGCAGTGATTGTTCTTTTGAGAAGAAATTACTCCTTATCACCATATTAGAGACACCTGTGTTTGCACCAGATGCTTTCTGGTGCTCAGGGGCTGGCAAGCAAAGAGAGAGCATGAATAAAATTCATCAGGCACACGCTTCATTTCTCACTTCAACCCAAGTCAAAATGGAAGCTTCTTTGGCTTCTATTAGCAGGAATCACAGTTATCCTTTGAAGCCAGGACAAAGCCAGCTAAGAGTTCATGCTTCCTTAGACTTTAGGGAGTGTGATTGACAATGGTTCCCCTCCATTCCACTCACATTTTTTCATATCTGGCCAGAGGAGGGGAGAATTAAAATTAAATTGTAATTTTAGATTTAATGGGCTGCTCATTCTGACATAAATATCCTATGGGCTGCTGTAGGTCTGGGGAGAGGAAGTTCCAGGGCAAAATACTTCTAAAAACCAAAATCAGTCAAAGGGAGAAATAAACTTTAAAACCCGTTTATTGCTTACAAACTGCAGTCCAGGACTGTCTCTCTCCTCTGCTCCCAAAGAAGCAAAACTGGCCCTCCCCCTCACCTCTCAGGTACAGATAAGCCCCCTGTTGCCCAGGTAATTACCCACTAATATGGAGAAGAACTTCTCTCAATCCCTGTATGCAAATGAACTAAAGCCAAACTTCTTTCCACCTCTGAATGCCTATTGATATGCAGATGTACAAAAGCCAGGTGAGATATTCTGGAAATATTACGATTTTACCCACAGCTGCCAATTAGATATATAGGTAGATGTGGATGTGAAAGATGTAAATCACATAGATGTAGATGTTAAAATAGATGATGTAGTTAATGCAGAAATTATAGAGGTTGTCAGTGTAGCTGCAATGACCTAGATGTCAATGCAGATATACATGATGTAGACATAAACACAGGCGCAGATAGGGTAGATGTCAACATGGATGCATGTGTGATTGGCATAGCTGTAAACATGGATGTAGTTGATGGGCATGATGTAGATTAGGATTTCTCAACCTCAGCTCTATTGACATTTTGGGCTGAATAACTCTTTGTTGTCAGGGACTGCCCTGGGTATTATAGGATGTTACACAGCACCTATGGCCTCTACTCACAAGATTCCAGGGGCCCTCCCTTCCCTGATCCAGAGCTGCAACAGTCAGAAGTGTTTCTGGATGTTGCCAAATACCCTTGGGTAAAAAGCTGGCCCAGTTGAGGACCACTGAAGTAGACAATGTAGCTGTAAATGTTGAGGGACATACTGATATAGATGTAAACACAGATGTGGGTAGAGTGTATGTCAATACAGATGTAGAAGGTGGTCTAAGAGTAGATACAAATTATATTGCTCTAAACTTAGATGTAGATGAAATTTGATATAGATAATGTTGGTGGTAGAAATGTAAGTTTTATGATCTGGGCAATAAAACATAGGTGCTGATGACATAGATTAGGTATAGAAGACAAGTTTGAAATCTAGATGGATCAATATAGAAAGAATTTTCCCAACATGAATTAAGTTCTTTGAAAGTGGTGACGGTATCTCCCAGAGCAATTAGGAGGTACTCATCAATGACCTATTAATTGTTTAATTAGTTCTACCACTCAAGAGCCAATAAAGTTATCCTTCATATTCAAGTATGTGTTCTATGAGGAAAAGAGATTGTCTTCAGGAAAGTTTGTGGTAATTTAAACTCCAAGTTACAAAAAAAATGTCTGTGGGTATACATTTAAATATTTAAAACATATCTTGCATATATTTTCCCAATATTTTACTATGAAAAATATCCAACATACAGAAAACTTGATAAAAATCAACAAATAAGACCTTCAAACCCACCACTTGGACATTACCATTAATATTTACTTTACTTGTTTACCTCATGTCTATCCACCTATCCACCATCTATCCATTCATCACTCCATCTTAATTGTTGCATTTTAAAGCAAGTCCTACATATGATCTTAACTGATTCCCTAAAAGACTAAATTACCCCCAATACTACTTTGACTTCATATAATTGCACACTATCATCTTGCTTATGATAGTAATAGGTCACTTGAGACATTCTGCAGAATAAATCTTTGAAATTTCGGAGGTCATAATGCATAATCTGTTAAAAACTTAAAGCTGAAATTCAAGCAAGGATAAGCCCAGAGTTTATTAAGGAGAGACACTGAGAATAAACAGGCTGTGGCATTTTTCTTACCTCTCTTTTGGGAGAGTTTTCAGACCATAGGTAAACAGTGTCCTGTCAGGAATGCTTTAAGAGTGGTGTTGCCTGAAGGCAGAAGAATTGCCCAGGTGATTTATTAAGGTCTTTTCTGGTAGAGCCAACTGATTCTGGGATATTCAGTCCCTGCTAAAGGCTGATACTCAGGTTGAAAAAAACTTCTTTAAAGTAAGTGATGAAAACCAGCAAAGCATCAGATTTCCAGATATTCCTTTATTAATATTAATTAGATGGCATGGCAAGTCTTAGGTGGTCTTTCAACTCATTCAGTAAATCTGTAGGATTTTATATATCAGACAACAACCGAGTAAGTGTTTCTGCTTTCACCAAGGTCCTACCCTTTCTCACAGATGTTGCCAAGTTGCCACCTCACAGCTGGCTGACCACAGCTGACAGGCAGTTTAGGTATATGCCATCCATAGTCCTGAAGGAACCTGACCTCTTTCCCCAGAGATGAGAAGTACTATACCCATTCAGGGTTGTAGTTCTTACACACCCAAAACTTACCATGTTTAGTACATTGTAAATCTCTCCAAATATCAAAGCTGATGAGGACCTGGCGAAAGTGCATTATCTGTAGACTGTGACATTCCCAATTATTCAACAGAACGATTGTTGAATGGAAGGAAGTGGGAGCCAGTCAGTGAGATTTGTTCAGTACTTCCAGGGCTGCAGTCAGATTCGGAGTGGCTGCATGTTACCAGGCAGGGATGAATGAGCACTAGATCGCAGAGACCCTGTAACGTGGGCGGAGAGCTCCTGAACAGTAAAGAGTGAAATAAGCAATCTGTACCAGTTAGATAGTGGTTTGGGGGTGGCAGAGGAGGTACACCTCCTGTTTGATTCTAGGAACATTTACTCTGGGCTTTGGATGGGTGGGGAACGGAAAAATCTGTGCACAAGTCTGGAGGATAAGAGAACACAGTGTAGCAGGTGCCCTTCCTGTATCACCTTGGGCCTTGGTTCTCTGCACACCAGCCTGGCGTCCAGCTGCCCCCACCTACTCGTTACCTGAGGGCTTTGTCTGAGGCCAGGGTCCAAAGACAGCAGGCCAGAAGTGCTGGGGAATTGCTGCCCTCCCAGCTGCGGTCTTCAGCCAAAGACTGGTGGGAATTGGTGCTTACATACCCCAGCTCCCTCACCCTTTGTGCAGGATGGCACTGAGGCTTACACTCTGCCCTGGCCCCAGAGTTCCCAGTAGGGCTGAGTTTTAGCTGTTCACAATGGCAACTTGCTTGATAATGCACTTTCTTGGCTTCTTTTCCTCCCCATTTCAGTTCCCAATTCCTTACTCTAATATACCCCTTGCACTTGAATTTGTGCCTCTAAGAAAACCTAAATGAAGACAGACAGACCATTGACAAATGCTTTGAGGATCTCTCTGGCTTATTATTTTCCATCTCATAATCTGCTAAGGCAATCAGAGAGCAGAGAAAGAAATGCCAAACATTCTTACCTCAGCCCAGAGAACTCAAGGGCATCTTTTCCTGGTTACAAAGAAATTCTATGCCTTTGGGGACAGCTATCACAGTGTCAGTTCTGGTTTCTTATTACCTAACCACATAACACCACCTCCCTTTATGGAAACTGAGAGCCATCAGAAATACATGGAGAGGATAGGGGCAGAATCCTGGCTGTGTCTCTACAGATCTCCTATGTTCCAGCTCATCTCTGTACCAATTGGATACATAGCAGCATGGAATAATTTCAAGTGCAAGTCTAATCATTAATGGAATGCTAGGAGAGAAGTTTTAATGCCCCGGGAAGCCACTGAGCTCACCCTGAGCATCTGAGTGAAAGTCAGGGCGACAGACTGATGTTTAGTTTTCCTCCAGAAAGTAGGCCAGGAGGCAATCACTGGACCACCAAGACACAGAAGAAGCTGTTTCCCCTTCAATGAGGTTAAAGCTGTGCAAGCTCAACACAATGAGGTTAAAGCTGTACAAGCTTATGGTACTGCTGTTTGTCTGAGGCTGTAAACCATTTTTGTGGGTGGTATTAAATACTTCCATGTTTTGCAGAAATAAAATAATTACTATTATCTACATCTATGTGCTAACAATAGAAGTTCACGTGGAGAGATGGATTGGTCATTTGCCATTATAGGGGGATGTTTAGCATCCTAACACGCATCCTTCTGTGCAGCAGGTCATGGGGGGAAGCAGGACTCACCTCCTACTAGGAGGAAGCCAAGTCAGATGGTCCTTTCTCTGACCCCTGGCTGCTAGAGGAGAGTCACATGATCCAACCTCAGCAAATGAGATGTTCTCACCTAGGACTTCTAATTTACTCAATGACAGTTTAAAACTCCCTGGCAGCAGCAGCACTTGGGCTCCTGGCCTCTGTTATGGGGATGTTCAACAGCCAGAATGGCAGCAGGGCCAGAGTTAGGGACATTCTAACCAAACTGTCCCTTCAACATGACCTCAGCTGTGTCCATGTTGACCAGCCTCCCTCAGATACTGCCTGGTTTCAAAATCTAGCTATCTAGCCTTCTGACAGATTCTGTGAGCCACTCATTAGCTTTCTACTAAAGTCAGCAAGTGTCCACTTCTGTTGTGTGCAATTCAGAACTCTGTCTGGCACAGAAAGTGATATCCCCGGTGTACAGAGTCTCTCTTGGAGGTCAGAGACTGGACTCTTGCCCAGAAGGTATCTAGATAACTAGACAACTAGACAGAGAGGTCTTTATCTCCTTGCCTGCAGAGAGCTTGACTGCATGATTTGCTAAGTTTCCTTTCCTGTGCTAAAGTCTGTGATTCTGCATGAAGTGTTGGCCAGTGAAGACTGAGAACTACTTGAGTTTCTGTGTCCTTTTTGGTAGGGGACAGGGGTTTTGGAAAAAGATGTCATTGTATGAAGCCCACAAATGGACCTGATCCAAATCAAATAATCATAGAGTGTCTCAAGTCACTGTACATGTGCATAGGTCCCCTAAGAGGTGAATGTGTCTGGTAAGCCCTGTTCGGGGCATGCCAGGGCCAAGAAAAATCCATAGTTCATTTAACAGTGTTCACAGGTGTCTGCTCTATGAATGGTTCCTTGGAGACAAACAGAATCAGTTGATAAGACAGTGAGTGTGACTGCCATTGTTACATACTCAGTAATCTAAGTAATTTTGAGGCCATGGAAACAAGTCTGGGGAGGAGGAAATGTGGTCATAACATGCATGGAACATAGATTTTGCAGGCAAAGGAGAGGTCATTTTATTTCCAAGCCCTTCCCATGGTCATCCTATATCAAATGCAGGAAAAACCTGCTTGGAACAGGTCAGGAAAACTTTTATAATTAATGGTGAACCTATCTATTTTGGGAGTGGTTCAAAACAATTTTTAAAGGAGAGGGAGACTATTATAGATCGAAAGAGGCTTAAGGGGTGCATCAACCAAATGCAGCTGTAGATCCTTGTTTAAATCCTGATTCAAACAAAACAACTGTAAGAAGGCATTTTTTAGACAGTCAGGGAAAAATGAACATAGACTGAGTATTTAATGATTTTAAGGAATCATCAATAATTATCTTTGGGGTAGTGTTTTTTTATTTTTTTCAAGTCCTTATCCATTAGAGATACATGCTGAATTTATGGGTCAAATAAAAGAATGCTTTGGATCTGCTTTAGGACACTCTAGCACAGTACTATTCAAAGGATGGTCTGTGGCTTAGTGCCTGTTGGCAAAGTGGTGTTCCTTTGGTCTGTGATAAGTGCAGATATTGACAGTACGTGTTTCAGAAACTGTCATAGCACTTCACAATGGCATGAGACCTGAGCAGTGAGGAGGACTTGTCTCACTGACCAGGATACAGCCCAGTCTGGGTGTTGCTCAACTTGCCTGGTGAGTTCTGTGTGGCATGAGCATGAGCTGTGGGCTGGCATTGGTCCTTGAAGACTGGGAATCAACTGAAAGGGCCCTTCGCCACTGACAGCTTAGGAAACAATGCTTTAGCACACACATACAAAGTTGGGTACTGTTGAAGCTGGATACTGGACGCATAGCGGTATGTGGTGGGGGCTTGATAATGGGGAAAAAGAATTCTCTCTACCTTCGTTAAAGTTTGAAAATATACATCATCTTATTTACTAAAACATTAAAAAACAAACCAACCCAGCCCATCCATGTAGAAATTTTAAATACATAAACATTTTCAATGCATATATTTTATCTAAATATAAATCTATATTGATAATGTAGGGTGGGGCCACGGGGAAGGCAGTATAGCACAGAGAAGACAAGTAGTGATTCTATAGCATCTTACTACACTGACGGACAGTGACTATAATGTGGTAATGTGGTGGGGGCTTGATAATGGGGGAAATCTAGTAACCACAATGTTGCTCATGTAATTGTATATTAATGATACCAAAGAAAAAATAATCTATATTGTATTATATATATAAATACATAGAAAATAATACAGAAATTACAAAGAGAAATATGTTATGTCACATGGAATTATATGTAATGGCCCAAGTAAAACTTTATTTTATAGAAGTCTAAGGTAAACAGAAAAAGTAATTTGCTGGATCATAAGCTTGGTGAGCTTTTATTATACAGCAACTTCTGATTATATAATAAACTGGAGGCCAAGGATCCTGCAAGATACTACTTCTGTGTCTCCACAGCACTCAACCCAGGGTACTGCAGGGTAAATGATGCTTAATAAACACTGGCTGCTAGGCTAAACTCAGGAAATGAATTGTTATGAACAGTAGCTTAATTCTCCAAGCAATAAAGCCACACCACTCAATCAATTTGAAAATTAGTTTCCTGAATCCACCCTCATGGAGATTTGTCACAGAACATTTTAGGCTGAGGGGGACTTGGAGCATTGCTAATATTCTTGTTTTGCAGATGGAAATGGGGCCTGGAGGAGTCATTCTAGCCTCCCTGGGCAGCCTGCTTGTTAATGGCAGCATTGTTCCCTCTGAAATCCGCATTTGGACACTTCCTTCTGTTATGCTGTCTCTCAGAAGGTGCAAAGCTATCTCCAAGCCCCACTGCCCCTTGCTCCTGGTTTAAGATTACATGGTGCAGTTGTAGGAAAAGAGAAAGAAGTTGTCAAACTGACTACACCAGGCAGCTGAACGAAAGGCATAGCTAGAGAACCAGTTCGTGTCATGGTCAGTCTTTACCCAGTGCTGATCTGTGCCTAGCCTGGCTAAGGTAAGCTCTCTGGCCTTCAAGAACTTTCCATCTGTTTGGGGAAGGAAGATGTACACATGTTCATAGTTAGAGGATGGTCCTGTTGTGTAGGATTACAGCATAAATGAGTAGTTGGTAGAGCCGTGGGGGCTGGAGAAGGGATGAGATGTTTGGAGGCCAAAGACCTTGGGTGTAAAGTCCACGGACTGAGGAGAGGGCAGACCACCTAGGGTGGAATGGCGTGGACCTGGGTTCTTGCATCCCCCTGTTGGTGTTAAGGACCTTGGGGGATTTTGTTGTGTCCTGGACATTTTGTATATTATGTTAGGAGATCCCAGATCTTATATAAATCTTCTATTTTAGTAGGCAGTCACCAATTTAGGGTTTCTGTTGTTCTTTTAAAAGTTTACTTTTATAGGCCATAGTTGCAATGACAGTTCAGTTTCCTGAGACCTTGCAATGCTGTTTGAGTTGACTTTGTCCTGGCTCTGCTCAAACTCCCACTGGAATCCCACATGTGATGCCTATCTGGGTGAAGGTGCTTCCCTGGGCTGCCTGGTGCCATTAGGCAGCTGTAGGGGGAGGCCCTGGGTCACCTTCTGCCACTGCATAGAGGTCTGGGAGACACCAGGCCCTCTGGCACTACCACTGAGGGTGGAGGGGGCTGCTTACTGTCCCTTGGAATGGCCCAGTGCATGAGCATGGCTCCTGGGTTTCTCTGTTATCACTGATGTGGGCAGATTGGTGGGGGGGTGATGTTGGGTAGGTTGGCTCACCTGCATGTCACTGTTAACACTGCTATGGGCAGATCTTCTGCTGTCTGTGACTGTGGGGTGGAGAATGGACTGAAAACTCACTATTACTTCTTGCTGCTGCTGTGAGCACGTTGGGCCTGGTGCTGTCACTGCGTATGAGTCTTCCCACTAAGCTCTGCCAGACTTCGTCTTTCCTGGTCCTTCGGCCAGAGAGAGCAGGCCCTTCTTTCCTTTCTGCCTTCCTGCCTGCCTTCCTCCCTCCCTTCCTCTCTTCTTTTTTCTTCTTTCTTTCCTCTTCTTTCCTTCTTTCTCTTTCTTTTTCTTTATCTTTTTCTCTTTCTTTCTCTCAATTTTATCGAATTTTTCTTTTACCATTTTTAGGTCTTGTGTCCTACTTAGAAAGATCTCCCCTAATCCAAGATACCTCACTATCTCTATGTATGTGTCTATAGCACTAATTTTTTATTCTAGCATTTTTATGAATTTTTTTACTTCAAACTCTTTAATCCATCTAGAATTAATAATGATATAAGGAATGAGGTGAAGAATCTAGTCTCTTCAGTGACTGCAATGAGGAGGGTGAGGACTTGATAATATGGGTGAATGTTGTAACCACAATGTTGTTCATGTGAAATCTTCATAAGACTGTCTATCAATGATACTTTAAAAAAAACTAGTCTCTTTTTTTCTCCTTTCCCAGTGTGAGGTGCCAATTACTCTAAGAACATTTGCTGTAAATTGCACATTTCTTTATAGATTTGATGCTACCTTCATTAAATACTCATTTTCCATGTGCATTTATATCTAATTATGGACTGAACTCATTCACATCAATTTGCCTACTTCTGTTTTGTTGCTTTAATTACTACAGAGTCAAAAATGTTTTCTTATTTGACAACTAGTCCTTTCTCTTTAATTTGCTGACTATTCACATATGCTCTGCTTTTTAAAAGGATTTGCACTATAGCTGCAGGGTAAAGAGAGGCAAAGGCAGATGTGAATCAACGTGGTGGGAGTCTCTCGTAGTATCTCGGGGAGAGATGCTGGGAGACCACAAGGGATGACAGAACATCCATCTCACTGTATTCCAGATTTTGCGTTTTCTGGTATACCACTTTAAAAATTTTTGGCATATCTGTGTATGGCCTGTGCTATTATTAATATTTCCTCAAATTCATTTTTCAATTGTAAAAACCTATGTAATATCTGTAAAAGCATGGATTAGATGTAGTAGTTATATATTTTTCTAACACATTCAACTGCATAGATAACAATGAAAATAAACATCATCTGTCCATGTAGTGCCTAAAATTATTTTGTGTACTAGCCGATGAAAATCTCCCCTCAGAAGGGGGTTGCCCAGGCTGGCTGATAGTGTCTGTTGCTTGAGTTGAATTCTGGTCGCATAGGTGGGTTCCATTTCTGAAAATCATTAAGATGTTCACTTGTAAACATTTTTTCTGTGTGGAGGTTTTAAAAGAAACCTTTAGAAAATATGGCTGTATTACTTTGTGTTACCTTCTGGTCATTACATGTGCCCTGACAGAGGTCATACAAAGAAGTAAACTAAGGAAGTGAATAATACTCACACAAACTTAAAATACTGGTAGCAGCTCTCTTTAGTGTTCTGACGGTCCTGTAAGCAAATCCATCCTCACAGAGACCTCTGAAAAGGGCACAGCCAATATCATAGACCAGTCAGAACTTTCACGGGATGATAAGATGTTGGTGAAGGGTTCTATAGGGCAGAATTAGACCATAATGTCAAAGGCCAGAGCCTCAATATTGTTATCTCTTAGTCTTTATTAAAGGTAAGCAGAGATAAATGGAAAATGCCATCCTAACCTTATGAAGATCAAATTAAGGAGTGAGATTGCAGGGAATCAAATATCTTGTACTGACCTGTCACAAGCACTTACTCAGATACAAGCAAGCACACATCATACTCCTTTTTTTACCCTGGGTGATTCTGGCTTTTAGACTTCTAAATTCTGTGGTTTCAGAGTCTACCTCTTGCTGAGCAGCCCCAGAAATGATATTAATAAAGGCCACAAAATTAATGATACTACAATATCATTGCCAAATAAAAGCTGCTGCTTCGCAGGGAGATTCAAGTAGTTTGTATCTTTTGTCCTTTACAAACGGCATAAAATAATCCAGCTTCCTTCTGTTGGTAGCCATGGAAACCAATTTCCAATCTTTCAGTGACTAAATACTACTAAAACCTACTGCATTCTTCATGGTGTCTATTAATTTGCTTCACATTAAAAACCAATAAAACTAGTGCCCTTAAAATTCAATCTAAATTTTCAATTATAAGACCCACTGTTTTCACGATTATTTGGGGGCCAGTTGAATAAGAGAAGCCCATGGAGAAAGATGCAGATGATTGCTTGTTGGAGAAAAATCTAGAATCTAGTTTCCTCAAGTATCTCTCAAAGACCTATTCATTTTCTATTTCCTACCAGTTAGGCCTCCACGCAGCTCTGCACTTCAATGTGCGATGCTATTTCTTACCACTGATTTTCCCAGAACTGGAAGCCTTATTATGTAATTCCCTCGCCAGCCAGCAGTCCCCAGGAGCCCTGCCTGAGAGGGCACCCTCACACTTCATGTATGACGTTAGGCTCATCTATTTGTAAAACCAGCTTTCCAGAAAGCTTATGGACAATTCTGCCAATTACGTTTCACCTACAGCTTCTCAAAATCGAATTGCCCAGTGTTGCCAGCTTCTCTTGTTGTTCCCTACAAAATGCTATAATCCTTCCTGTCAACGAAATTGGTTTGAAGGACTGTTGAGGGAGGGATGCGTGTGAGGCCTCCAATAACAGCTTCAGAGAGCATGGTGCCAGGTGATGTCATTCTCCCAACCAACTCTCAAACTGGGGTTCAGGACGTGGCTGCCGAGCAGAGCACCTGCCAGCTCAAGCCTGCCCTGGCTATTTACAGCCGCTACCTGGCAAAGCAAGGATGGGACAGCAGGCAGGCAGCAGGCAAAAACAGCGAAAGGAAAAAGGCAACTTGGGCAAAGGATTCCTTTTTCTCTTCCACTACGAATTGGCGAGGCAGCATTGGGTCAGCCTAAGGTGTCATAATTGAGCTTACACTCAATTGCTAGGTGGTGCACATTTGTTTTCTCTATGCCTTTCACATTTGCAATCTGGTAGAGACTTTTTTTTTTGCAAATCTTTGCTGTTTTTTAGATGGTGTAAGTGTTCCCTCCTCACCCCACAGTGAAAGTCAGAACTTTGGAAAGACAAGGGTATGATTAAGATGTGATATGGTTTTCGGAACTGCATTTAAATCTTTTTATCATTTTGGGACATGCATTCTCAATCACGTGGTCTCAGTTTTACAATTTCGTATGATTGTCATGCTTGATTGAACACAGGGCTTTGTGCCCTTCGGAAAACTCACCTAATGGATGCCTGTTCTCTTAGGTTGGGTTCTCCCAGAAGCAGACTCTGAGTCAAGGATTCAGGGACAAGAGATTCATTGAGGAAAGGCTTCTGGGAGCCCCAGTAAGTGAATGGGAGAAGAGGTGCAGGGAAAGGGAAGGAGTGAGCAAGGCGTGATGGAGTGTGAAGTCCCAGCCTTAGCCTGACCGGAGGGGAGCGCCGCACAGTAAATTATGCCTCACAGAACGTCCTGTCTTGAGGCAAGAAAGCTGGGGCTTTGGATTCCCAAGACGGTCAGTCACTGACCTTAAGTCAAAATGAATGGTAGGATGGGATGGGAGGTGGTAGCCATGGGAGCTGTAAGACGTCCGGACAGTGCAGGCTCCCCAGGTGGGCTGAACTGGCTCCAGTACCACAGAGCCAGCAAGCGAGACCCAAGGGGACCTGGGCGGTACGCTAACACCAGTGGCCACAGGGCTATCCTCCATGTTGCCTGATGTCACCACCAGGCACCAATTATAGGTCTTTCATCACATTCTGTTGCAAGAGGAAATGAATAATATCTTTTGAAAGTCCTGGGGTTGGCTTTTCATCATCCAGAGACACACTTCCTTCTTCCGGTGGGTAGAAATGGGCATCCCTGGAATGCCTCTGTAAGACTGAACAGCCATCTCGGTTGAAGACAACTCGGGCCATTTGAAAACTGCGGAGGGCGTACTTCTGGCTCTCCTGGCCCTCTAGTTCATTGATTTTCTGAGATAGGCACTGGTAGACAGATGCACAGAGTGGATTTCCAGAGGCTGGCTGTGGGTGGCCATACATTTCATAGAATCTGTCCAGGGATTTCCGAAGTCCATCATCCTCTGTCTTGGTCTCTGGGTGGCCTTTCACGGAAGGGTCAAGCCAGAAGTTCTCTGAGGTCCAGGAATCATTTTGTTCAGTATTTAGGTTACTGGTGTCTGCAAGACAAAACACATTCCAATACTAGAACACACATCCCAAAATATCAGACAGGAAGCCAAGAGCAGATGTCTTACTTCAATTCCCTACATTCACTGCTCCTGGGTAACTGGCAATGGGCAGGGTCAGCTGATTTGAGAATCTGTCCCCTCCATCCTGGGGTTATGCCACTTGTTTGCTCAAAACAAGGACATCTTATTGCATGTGTCAGGGGTTCTTGATCTAAAACAGCAGAGAAGTTCAGGGTGGTTGTGAGCTTGGATGAGGAAAAAAATCCTGTCTTTGTTTTCACTAACCTCTACCTGAAATGAAGCATTTCCTTCCATGATAACTGTGAGCAACAAACCTATTAGCAGCAGGACCTGTGACTGTCACCAAGAGACCACAGCTGTTTTCAATCACATTATAGTTTCCTAAACATGTTTTGAAATATCATTTATGCCTATCATTGTGCTGTGGACTGAATTGTGAATTGTGTTCCTCCAAAATTCAAGTTTGGAAGCCCCAATCCCTAATAGGACTTTACTTGAAGATGGAGCTTTTAGGAGGTTATTAAGGTTAAGTGAGGTCATAAGGGTGAGGCCCTAATCTGAGAGGACTGATGGACTTCTAAGAAGAGGAAGAGATCTTCTCTTTTCTCTCCCTCTCTCTTTTCTCTCCCTCCATGTGCAGGAGCCGAGGAATGGCCGTGTGAGGACAGTATGGGAAGGTGGCCCCCTCCGAGCCAGGAAGCTCTCCTCGGAACTCAACCACTGGCAGGCACTCTAATCTTGGACTTCTAGCTTTCATACATGTGGGAAAATGGATTTCAGCTGTTCAAGCCATCCAGTTTATGGTATTTTGTTATGGCAGCCATAGTAGACTAAGACACACTACTCTGAAATTACTACAGTTGTTACCACAGAATTTCATTTTTGTATTTAACTCTTGAAACTCAGTGTCCACAAAAGGACCTAAAAAACTAGCCTGTCTCCTCTATTTTTCATGTAAATATCAAGCAGACTACAACTCATCTTCAAAGAAACCCTCCTTCCCTTTTCCAGTAGAGCAATGACAATTGAATTATTTATTACATCAGTTCTTTTGAATTCTGCTTCCAGTTCATTTCAGTCTTTGATTTCCTTTTAAAATTGCTTTACTACCAACTACAAAGCCATCTCACTAATCATGTGTCTGTTAGGTACTTGCAGATACCTTGGAATCCTCTGCCAGCAAATAAAGCTAGTTGTATCTCTTTTCCTGATGCACCTATGTGGGGATGGAATGATGGATCTTTTTTTTTTTTTACATACCTGTAAAGGTCTTTATTTTGCCTTCAGTTTTTTTATTTGTTTTTAAATAAAGTATCATTGATATACAATCTTATGAATGTTTCACATGAACAACATTGTGATTTCAACATTCACCCATATTATCAAGTCCTCCCTCACCCCATTGCAGTCACTGTCCATCAGCGTAGTAAGATGCCCCAGAGTCACTACTTGTCTTCTCCATGCTGTGCTGCATTCTCTGTGACCTATCTATATTGTGACTGCAATTATAGTGCCCCTCAATCCCCCTCTCCCTCCCTTCCACCCCCTTCCCTTTGGTAACCCCTAGTCCCTTCTCTGTGAGTCTGCTGTTGTTTTGTTCCTTCAGTTTTGCTTTATTGTTATAGTCCACAATGAGTGAAATCATTTGGTATCTGTCTTTGGAATGATGGATCTTTGATAACTCGGTCATTCCTTCTCAGTGGTGCAGCCTCACAGCTATGTTCAAACCTCAAACCCTGTTCTTCCTGTTATTACAGCCCAGGCTTACAGACTTCCTAACTGGAGACAGTAATGGCTTCCCTAGGGACAGCCTGGGGACACTTTTGTGTCAGTGATTGGAAAGTGCTACTTGCATTTAGTGAGCAGGGTCAAGGATGTAAACACCCTATAATGCACAGGACAGGTCTGTACAACATAATTCTTCCCTAAAATGCCAATAGTGCCTCCCATCCCCACTGCCTTAATGGATGGACTCTGAAGGAGGGGGCAGTGAATGCTGAACCCCACTGCATTCTAATATACCCATTTGCCTTGAACTCCCAAAGCACTTTTGCTGTTGATCCCTGGCTGATGTGCTTCTTGCTGCTACCCATTTGAGCCATGTGTGCCTCCCTTCTCAGACCTTGAGATGACTTTTTTTTTCTTATCAAAGGTGCAGTCCTGGTGATTTATCTAAATTGGGTGGAATTTCCCTTTTTATTTCAATATGCTTTACACATGAACAGAATTTCTTTAGGAAATGACAAAAAGCAAAGGAAGAGGAAGGGGCCTGAGATGGCTGTGCATCTGTGTGCACTGTTTCAGGGTCCTCTATCTACCAGGGCAAACGTTTGTTATTTTTATGACTAAAGAAATAAGGGATAACATACAGATGTTTGAGGTTTTTTTTTTTTTTTTTTT